ACACCACCACCAGCGGCTGCTGGCTGGCAAAGTCAACAACCAATCTAGAATTGCATATGCTACACAGATGTGCTCCGAAACTCGCAGCGGGCCATAATTTGCCCAGTCGTTTTGGTCAGGCGGTCGATAGGTTGGTCGGTCGTTTAGCCGCTTGGTCATATGATTCCATTCAGAATCAAATTCAACGCTGGAGGAATGAATATGTTTTTTTGTTTCTTTTGATGCCAGCCAACAAAAAACCTTAAAAACAACAACATAAAGATGGTGTTGCAGTATTCCGCGCTGCACAGGTAGATGGGCGTTATTTTGGGTAGGCGTATCATGTCAAAGTGTAGGTAGAAAAGTGATAAATGTAAAAATTGTGTAAAACTATTTTGAGGTGTCTTCATCAGAAAGTTTTTTTTTGGAAGACAAAGGAAAACGAATCAAAAACGATTGGAAGGAGAAAAACAAAACAAAGAAGTTGTCATTGCTGTTGCTACATAATTAGGGGCTAGTCACACCTAATTAGGTAAAATCTCCTTTAAGAAGCAAAAGAAGAAAGTTAAATAAACTATCATAAAAGACAAAAAAAAAAAAAAACAACTTAAGTGGAAAGATTTATAATGAGGGGAAACCATAAGCCAAGATTCATTTTCGATCTTTAATTAAAAGAAAGGATTTTTCGACATTTTAATTTTCTTTAACTGTCTCAGTCCGGATTTACATCGTTTAATCTAAATCAGATCTTATCTCACAATAAAAAAAACGATTAACTTTACGATGTCAACATTCGATTAATCGATCAATCAAAAGTCGACCTACATATCCCTAACTTGAAACAAATGGCGCCAATGTCAAGGAAGCGCGAGAGCAAAATGTTTTATGAAAATGCAAATTCGTGGACCCATATTACCACATATTATTAAAAGCAGGCTCTAATTCGAAAGGAAATTCAAACAACTTCAATCCACATTTAGTGGACAGGATTTTACATTCGCCATATATGTTTTTCTAAAAGCCATTGCCGATAGAAGCGCTAATTCAGAGACTGAAACCAGAACAAAATTAAAAAATGAAGCACAAATAATAGTTGTGTTCCAGAACCTACAAATTAGTACTAATTAGTACTAATTCTGCTACAACGCGTTCCCGTACTGCAAAAACTAGCAAAACTTGCAGCTCTCTCGAGAAAAAATGGCGCTGAGTGGTGCACATTTCTGCTTGTTTTAGCTACATGAATTTGGCCGAGCAGAAATGTGCAAATTGTGAATTTGACATTAAATTGGCAGGGCTAACAAGGTTGAAAAATGTATTGATACATTTCAATGTTCCCGCGTCATAACAAAAATAAAGAAATGATCAACTTAAAAATTAAAGGAAAAACTAATATTTGTAGTGCAAAAAAAAAAAAAAAAAACAAAAAGAGAAAATATGGAGCACTTTTGGATGATTCCAGTAGTGAAGAAGACTGGCTGAATGATGAATCAGATTATTAATTATTATTATAGATTATTAATTTTAACGTATCGTCTTCAATACTATTTTTTTTTTAATTTTGGCGTCCGTTTCAGTAAGGTTTCACCAGTCCGACTTGGACTGTTTACTCTTGGAATTTTGACATTTTATCGCATTTCTGCTAATTTTCCGTTCCCTTATTTTTTGAGCACACCTAATTGAGAATGACATTTCGAATTGTTCTCTCTTCTGCTAGTTTTACTACGAAAAAAGTACTGGAACACAACTAATGAAAGAATGTATATCTGCACCAAAACGCTTGAAAACCAAAGGACAGTAAACTGACTGGGAGAAGCATATCAAGGGGAATTGTACTAGCTGTATTGACAACAATGTGGAAAATGACCGGAAAAGTGTTCTCCATCATCGGGAGGGGCAAAAACTCTACCTCAGGTCTCAGCTGGATTGCATTCATGGTAGAAGAATACAGGGAACAACTCTAGTTTACTCTTCGATTTTTTTTCAGAGATAGTTATTTTTACCCTAATCCCGAGAAACTATTTTTTTCTTGGGGGACGGACCCTGGACCCCAGATTTTGACCCGAAAGTCCGGACTGGATCCGGATCTACTCGCGATACCTAGATATAGGTATCGTTTGAAAGCTTATGAAAATACCTATCTAGGAGTTATTTTTAAGCGGTTCGGAAGTTATAGTCAAATTATTGATTTTTTGGACTTCGGATTTTTTTTATAAAAAAAACCCCATAAAGTCGAATAAGGGCCAATTATGGGGGTCAACCACATTGATGCCAAATTATTGCTGACACTCTTACCTTTCCAAAATGATACAATTTGTTCTAATACCTTCCCTGATGTCAGGGTAAAAATACCTACCACTGGAAAACATTTCGAAAAAATTGAAGAGTTTTTACTAAACTAGAGTTAAACCGAATACAGGTAAGTCACATCGATGCAGCTGCTGGGATAATGAACTGTCAAACCAATTTTGAAATTGAACATTTTGAATGAAAAGTTATTCAAATTTGTAAAAATTGTTGAAAAATGAATGTCTTAACAACCTCCGATTGGTGTTGTATATGAAAACTTATAAAAATTTACTTATTCAAAAAAAAAGCATTTTAAAAATTTTGAGGCATCAATGTTCTCAAGCGTTGATGCATCTACCTGCATTTTCCACCATGATTGCATTGCTTTCAAAATACTGGCGGCCTTGGGTGAAGGGTGTAAGAATAAACCAGAGAGGCTGTCAGGACTACATCGGAAAAGTAAATCTTGAGCTAAAATAAAGAGGAGGATTTAAATTTGATGTATGCTCCCAATATCGAATACGACGCTATAAGTGCACAAAAAATGAGCGGTTCTGAAACAGCCATCGTGCTTGGTTTGGTTTGAGAATGCACTGCTACGGGAGAATATGCGACCGCTTCACTGGGAGACTTTTGTTCCATTGTAGCTAGGAAGAATAAAGTTGTTGATAGGAGAGATATAGAAACGAAACGGAGAGATATATAGCGAAAAGTATAGTTAGCAGGGTAGTCTGCATAGCCAGAGAATGCTTTCAGCAAACTTAGAGATGATGATGTGATCTATGCCTAAGAAGAACATTTGAGTTTCTATCTCCCATCTGTCAAAAAGCCTGTGTCTCATGTTGGATAACATACCTCAACTTTAGTTTTACATATTCTAATGTTATCCCATCTTGAATTCAGATATCTACGGCCAAATGGCCTTAGAGACCCTACAACCGGTTTTCAAGTGTCATTGCATTTCAGCTTCTTCGATGCGCTATGATTTTTTAAAACAGCTGACATAATAGAGCAACCGACTAGGAATCATCTCCAGCTAATTCATCTGCCATTTCTCCCACTGTGTTGCTATGATCAGGAACCCAACAAAGACTTAACGCATTTACGTATTTCAATGAGCACATTTTCGCAGTCAAAAATGGCTCTCGATTTAAAGGCACTAGGCTTGTTGGCTTTAAGGGCTGCCTGACTAACGACACAAGCAGTCACTGCTCTTGCAAAGTTCTTTAATCACATGCACTCTACTTTTCCAGTCCATTGGGGTTCCCGATTGGTAGCAATGGCATTTGGATTCGTAATATCCAATTGTTTAATGAGTTCTGCAGTTGCAATTAGTCATTGAAGCTCAAGTTTCTGCAAAAATGTTTTTGTTTCAAAAATACCTATCATTAGGCAAAACATCCTAATGGTGTTATTGGTACTCCTAGATGGTAGCAACAGAGGTCACGTGCGGGTATAACTGTTAACTATTGCTGGCCTTACACATGAGTTGAGTTGAAGCTATATTTTATCTTTGTAACGCCACACGTCAGCTCGAATTAGTCACCCTACTTCTTAGGGTAACATTTGACGTCAACGATAAGACTGTCCGTGACCTCAACATTACCCTTCCTCTGAAAAAAAAAATGAGAGTTAAAACCCCAAGGAAGATTCCAAGCTATCGAAAGCAAAACTGTTCATGTACACACACTAATTTGAATCAAATTCTGTCATAAAAGACCTTCTTTTAATTTGACCAATTGAAGTTGTTTAAGATATTCTAATGTAATTTTTGTTTTATCTAATATTGTGGATAAACTGTCTAAAATGGAAAGAATTTTGTATCAATACTCAAAATCCCACCACCATAAAACATTCCATTAAACTTAAGGAAAAAAATGTTTTAAATAATTAAAACAACGAACATAAAATATATTCCCTATTTTTATCGCCATTGCTACGCAATATGCAGAGTTCATCTTTATCTTATGTTTAACCAAAGAGATAAAGCCCAAAGAAAGAAGGAAAAAATTGAAGAAGAACAAGAGCAGCCAACAGTGGCAATGTAGGTGTTTCAAAAAAAAAATCATTGCGATGCTATCCCAATAAACCATTTCATTAACCCATCTTAAATGAATACAAAAATAAACTTACAATAAGCCATTTTCTACAACCTGTTATAAGCATACTTATGATTGGTTTGTTAAAGTAGAAAATATGAATACTTTTATAACCGTGTGTTAAAAACGGTTAAAATAGTAATTGTATTTGCAATAACACTTGCAAAACATTTGCTAGAATAATATATTTGCAAATGCGATTACAAATGACTTATGTTCGCAAGATTTATATAAGAATTTTCGAAATAACATTTTCAAACTGAGCTTCAAAAACGGTTAGCATTGCAACAATATTTGCAATAACACTTGCAATACACTTTGTCAGAATATTAATTTTGCAAATGTGATTGGAAAAGACTTATGCTCGCTATAATTTTACAAATGTCTTTGCCAAGCAGGGTTTTAAAAACGCGTAGCATTGTAACTGTTTGCAATAACATTTGTTATACATTTCGTGCGAACAACAATTTCACAAATGTGTTTGCAAACGACTTATGCTTGCAACAGTTTTACAAATGTTTTGTAAATTGTATCCCGTTATTTTAACAGGAGTGTTTTGCAATATTCTGATTTACTTCATTCTCCGAGTTTTATTTGAAGAGTGAAGATTAAAAAGTGCCCAATAAAAAGGGAAAGGAGCTGTTAACGGTTGCCAAAACTCCAAATTTTACAAAAAACTGTTGGCGAAAGCTACTAGTAGACGAACTGGCGCAAAAGATGTGTTGGAAGGGGACAGAGGAGAAAAAAAGTGTACGCAGCCTCAGTTCAGCAAAAGCAATAAGAAGTAAGTAATTTACACGTGTTCTTAATTTACATATTTACTTGCTTTTCTAATTCTTTTCAAATATTATAGATGCAGCAATTTCTATTGGATTGAGCGAGGATGAATATATAAAAAGCACAAAATCTTTTTTCCAGTTCGCGAAAAATAGGCAAGAATCAAAACAAAAATATACTCCAAAGACAAAAAACAAAAATTAATTTTTTTCTTATGTTAGTAATATACCTTATATTAATAATACACCTGATAAAAATGTACAAAATAAAAATTAAACTATAAAAAATAATAAAATTAAAAGGTTTATAAAACTATTACGAAGATAAGTTTAATTTATATATGATAAGAAAACTATTTTTCTTCAAGCATAGTTAATAATTAGACTTCTATGCTTGTTGCAAACTATAAACCAGCAATATTAAAGCAAGGGTTCAATTTGATTTATTCAGCAATTGTTTATAAGCCTTTCATAATAGTAATAACAAGCTTATTCTAAGATTAAAGTTACTAGCTTGTTTCATACTATTGACTAGTAATATTATCACAAGGGTTCAATTTTCATTATTCTATAATTATTAAATTGCCTTTCATAACAGTAATCATAACAGTTTTCTAAGCTTAAGACTTATGATAGTAAGTTTGTTACAAACTTATTTTAAAGCGTTTTGGTTTGTTGGGATGGTTCATAAGAAAAAACCCCAAGCAAAGGAATGCATACCTCAGCCTAGATTCAAGTACCGCCACCAAAATGACGCCGCCGCGAACATGGACAGCATCACATCTTCAAGAGGTATCGAATAGAGGAGGATGTTATTTTATCTAGCTTAACTTTCCATTATGTTTATTTTCAGATAATACATTTTTTTCAAAAACAATTTCAAGTGTCTATGTGTGTGTGTGTGTGTGTGTCTTCCTCCTCACACATTCCACATGTGCCGCGAGCGGGCTGCTCTCAAAATCACACATTCCATTAAAACTACAATGCATGGTAATAAAAATGAGCCCTCTTTTAAAATAGAAAAGAAGGCAAGAAAAATAATGATAACGAAACTAATGGAGGAGAAGGAGGTAATTAGCCCATAGGTAGGTAATTAGCTTTGATTTTTGTTGTAATTTATATTAATTTTTGTTATTTTAAGAGCTTTGCATTTTATTATGGAAAAGGGGGGTTATGTTGAATCATGATGCCGATATAACATCTTGAGGGCCTAAAAGCAATTTCTAAACTCAATTGTCATGGTATTTCTTTTCCCAATATTAAAAAAAATCGTTGGGTTAATTCCAGCATGACATAAAGACAGGCCCTGCCAAACATATCCAAGTTAATCCGGAAGATTTACGGCCACAGCCCATCGAAATAGCGAAATTTTACATTTCAAAGTTAGATACAGGTTCGGATTAGCTGTAAAAAAGTTAATATCACTTTTCATTTCATTTCATTTATTTACCTTACAAAGAAATATAAATAAGCCCACAGGGCCCATAACTTATATTATCTATCTACAATACCCTAACATAATACAAATTCAATGATTAATTCAAACTTAACAAATAACATATTAAACCTAATAATTTATCTTAATAATTCACGAGAAGCTCGAACCCTACACCTCGATTCACCATCACCAACTAAACAATAGTCTAGTAGAGCAGTGAAAAAGTGTAGCAGAAACGAGCTAAAAATAAGAGATAACTATTTTATTACTCACAAAACAGAGTATAAATAGTAACTCACATTATACCCTACAAATAAAATTAAGAAGATAATATAGTGGCTCCCCAGCCCAAACAAAAAGAAAAGCAAAAAGAAAAACCCATAATAAACCGACGCAACCATTACAAAAACATAGCCTACATATTTAGGCGAAGGTATTCAATTACTTTAACCCTAAACAGATAATTGGTATGGGCAAAAGTACGTAAGGCCAAAGGAAGCTGATTCCACAATCTCACCGCCCTAACCACAAATGATCTCTCACCAATGGAGGACGAAAACCTTGGACACAACAATTGAGGATTTCGAGATGATCTACAAAACACAAAGTTGTCACGAAGAGGCGAGTCAAAATTGCACATAACACTATAATGAAATTGAAGAATACGAAGATCAACGTAGCTGCTAAATGGCAATCCCAGGAGATCATTAACAAAACAAGAAACATGATCACCACGACGCAAGCCATACACATAACGAACAATCGAATTTACCGCCCTACGGATACGTTGCATTTGAGAAGAAGTAGTACCGGAGACTACCTCTAGACAATAATTTACCTGCGATAGCAGCAAGGATACAACCACTCTCTTCCTAACATGACAAGGCAAATAAGCATTAAGACAATACAGCCTCCGCAGCTGAAACCTTATACGACAAAGCAAGGAATCAATGTGTCTCTTAAAGTCCAACTTCCGATCAATTATAACACCAAGACATTTCATTTCATCAACAAATTTCACTAACACAGAACCCACAGTAATATTAAGAGAACCACCATTACCATGATCATTGAACAGCATAGCTTTAGTTTTATTCCAATTAATCATAAGGCCATTTAGCGAAATCCACGACGAAAGAGACAAAACAATAGAATTAACCAACCCTTCCAACCCAGCAATATCAGCCTCTCTGAAGAAAACATGAATATCATCTGCATACAAAAACAGACAACACCTGTCATCAACAACTGAGTGCACAATGTCATTAATGAACATAATAAATAACAACGGTCCCAGTACAGAACCTTGCGGGACTCCACATTGGACACTACAAACTTCAGACGAAACACCCAAATGAACAACAAACTGAGACCTACCTTCCAAATATGAAGCCATTAAACGACACGCAGAAGATGAAAAACCAAACTTAAACCTCAGCTTGTCAAGTAAAAGGGAATGGTTTATCGAATCAAAAGCCTTTGACAAGTCAAGGCCCAATAATAACCCAACATCAGATGAATTAAATACATCTCTAATCATGTCAGTAAGATATAATAAGTGTGTGGTCGTACTACATCGTCGCCGAAAACCAAACTGAGAACTACTCAATAGCCTACGATCATCAAGGAAGTCAACAATCGCTTCTTTAATAATATGCTCAACGACTTTTGACATAGCAGGTAGAATGCTAATGGGACGCAGATTCGGCAAATCAAATTATTCACCAGTTTTCGGCACAGGAACAATTCGTGCAACCTTCCACGCCCGAGGAAAAGTAGATGTCATAAAAATCGAGTTAACAAAATGCAGGAAATGACAGGAAATGTATGGAAATATAAGTTTAAAAAACTTTACTGGCACGCCATCAACCCCCACAGCTCCCGACTTAACTTTATTTAATGACCTTACAACATCAGAATAAAATATGCAATAAAACCGAAAAACATCATCTCCCACATGACCCTCACTATAAAGAGACTGACCACGCTCACCCACAAAACCAGGATTCCCACTGGAAAAATAATGATTAGCAGCATTGACATCAATTGGTGGAGCTTCATTATCACTACCCAAAACACCAAACGACTTTAGAGATTTCCACAGCTGATTATTATTCATACGACCAAAGAAATCATTATAGTACTTACGCCTCTCATTCCTCATCACAGCCTTACAACGATTCCTATACATACAATATATTTTTCTATTACCCTCCATAGGTCGCTTGCGCCACTCAAAGTACGCAAGATCTCTAAACATCCGTGCCGATTTTACCACATCAGATTCCAACCATGCATCATTCCTGGGGTTGACCTTACGAACAGAAACAGGAACGAAAGACAATAGCGCGTTAAACAACAAATCAAATAGTGAAAGTTGACAATTCACATCAGAAGTGGAATATAAGGGGTTGAAGTCAAAATCGGATATGAAATTTAAAATGCCCAAACAATCCGCTCGGCCAAAGTTACGATACTCAATAAATCTCTCCTCTGAAAATACAGGCAGGTTAAGCGAACCAAAAACAAAGGCATGGTGTGATATACCAGGACATCGACCCTGAGACGAGAAACCCAAGGACAAATTATCACTAGTAAGGCAAAAATCAATTAACGAGGTAGAGTTATGGGCCAAATCATAATGGGTAGGTTTCATGTTATGCACAATAGTTAGCCCCAATGATCTGCATAATCCTCTCATCGAAACAGAGTTCGAAGACACAAATAAATTACAGTTAAAATCGCCAAGGACAATGATATTAGAGAAGCGATCAAACAAACTCTCATGTACATCACAGAAAGACTGAACATCGCCATGGGGAAGATATACTACCGCCACAAGCAAAACCAATGCCCCAATATTCAACTCAACACACACCGACTCACAAACACCAAAATTATTTGAACGAAAAACTACCTTATAAGGAATGCCACTACCAATATAGAGACATACCCCACCACCAACACGACCAACACGATCACTCCGCACCAGCTTATATCCTGGAACAACCAACGATTTCGATGATACTGCAGAATTAAGCCAAGATTCAGTGACACCAAAAATGCTGATACCACTACCAACCAGCAAGGATCGAAGCTCATCAATTTTATTATTGAATCTCGATGGGCGAATACTTTGGCAGTTCAAGTGGCCATACGTTAGTTTACCAGACAAACCCTCAAATAAGGGTTTAAAAAAGTGAGCGTCATTAATTATGGGTCCCAGATTATCATCAAGTGACATCAAACCAAATAAAGGGGCTGGGGAGCAAAATTATGTAAATTCGATTTCGCATCTTATACTAAAAATTGAAAAATATAAATATATAAATAAAAAAAAAAATAAATAATAATATGAAAGATTATTTAGAACAAATAAGCAATAATTTGCATCAAGAAAACAATTAAATTGCCAATGAGATCAAAACAAAATTAATATTTACATTACATGACTACACTCCCAGCAGCATATCACCAACCAACGGAGCACCACCCGGTTGCAGAGGACAACTACGAGCAAATTCAAGAAGCTCTTGTCGCTCAAAAATTGTTTTACTTCCATCAGCAAGTATTACCTCAACTTGAGGTTCATCACTATTTAACAACCTGAATTTCTTAATCTTCTTCTTCTTGAGCAGGCCTCTGCAGGCAAAGACAAGACTAGATGCCGATTTAACAAGATGATCATTTAAGTAGATACGGGACTCCAATAGACAATTCTCCATAACTTCTTTTAGGGTTACCTTCCCTCTTTTAACAAATCGGCGGATAAGGGAATCTCTTGTCTGAATAGAATTAAACTTCACCAAAACCGCTCTTCGTTCAGATATGTAACAGCACTGCTGCATGTCGCCATGAGATAGTTGCAACCCACACAAATTAGCAACTTTAACAACAAAGCTCCTGAGGTCTTTAATATTTTCCGGCAAACCTCTTATAATGATATCAGCTCTGTTAAGCCTTCGCTGGAGCACATTGTTAAAAGACTCAAGCTCAGAAATCCTATCAGCAAGTTTCTTTTCTGCTAACAAGGCCGTACTTTTAACTTCAGAGACTGTCATCTTCAACTCAACTACAGCCTTTTTAAGCTCAACCACATCACGCTTTACCTCAGATATTTGTGCATTATAAAGATCAAACAGAGCATCAGTTTTGGTACGGAATTCAGACAGACATCTAGCCATATACGTGTCCATTTGTTGTTTCATAGACAAAATCAAGTTATCCTGCAGCTCTCGCAGAGCATCTGAATTCCCAACAAAATCACACGCAGCCACACCAACTGTCCCATCACCACCATTCAAAGAAGCATCAGCTGTGGCACCAACCCTAGATGCATCAACTGCAGTGTTCGCTTTTGTTCCGCGATCAACCACACCAGCGTCACCACTACCACCAGCAGCCCGAACACAGCACACACAAGTGTATCTGAGTTGCTTATTTATTTTAGCCTCAGCCTCAGAAATGCCAACGCAATCCAAATGGAAAAAATTTGCACAGCCTTTGCAACCAATTTTATATTTGGATTTGGCAATATGATCCTTACAAACATTACAGGTCAATAGCGACGGCATTTTCAGGATTACCTTGGCAGATGCAAATGAATAAAAAAAAGAGCGCCAAACGAAAATGCACAGCAACAGGTTAAAAAGGTGAGAAGAAAAACCAACTCCACCAAAAGCCACAGCTCCAGACCTTCAAACACCAATATCCAAAAGAAATAGTCCAGTCAATTTGTAAAAATCTCCAATTTTAAATATTTAATTATTTTCTTGACAGAGCTCAAATCTAATGCTTGTTCATTGCAGGGATCTATAGTTCGTTCTGGGGAACAACAACAAAAACAGCCAAATCAGTCTGGACGCCAGTCGTGCGTGGAATTAAGAAATAAGAAGTCGAATATCCGTAAAGTGAACTAGGAAGTTCCCCAAGGTAGGGTGATATCTGAGAAACTGTTTAACTTCGGACCCATTATTGATGACATCTGCAATGGTTTAAATCATTACTTAATTGATCCCAAGACTTTTTGATAGCGAGGAATATGAAAAAATCCGCCACGAAATCGACGGCCAAACTTTTCGCCACAAGGAAAGCAGAGATGAGGCTATCACTGAATGCACAGATCGATGGTATTTTAATTCCGACCACCAATTACTCTAAGGTCTTCGGGGTCACATTCGATAGCCTCTTTAAGTCACAAGGAAAGCGGAGATGAGGCTATGACTGAATGTGCAGATTGGTGATGTTTTAATTCCGACCACCAATTACCCAAAGGTCTTAGGGATTGCAACCGATAGCCTCTTTAAGGCGTTCGCGTTCTGTATCTGTGAGAAGATTAGAAGTAGAAATAGGTTCTCTCTCTCTCTCTGGCCTGCAGTACTTGGAGCTAAAGAATTCTTTATGATCTCTTAAAACGCAATAGGCCGGTAAACTGTGGTAAACTTTGTGGATACGGTATGGTCCTGTCGATGCAATACTTTCTTCGGTTTTACAAACAACAATTCCAATCACCATCTGGTGGATAGGCAACCTCCGCCCAGGTAAGAATGGAGATACCTTCATGATTCAGAGAGAGAGAGATAGAGGGGGGGGGGGGGGTCTTACAGAAATATAAAAGAGATCAACTCTAGATCAACAGACCTATCAAACTGGACTGAATACACACAAGTCATGGGGGAATATACACTGAATATCGTACTCGATGACCAATCGTACTAATATCGCACCATATCACTGCCCCAACAAACCCGAGTAGTTTTGACACAATTAAGATCCTGGATTGCCAGCAATGTGCAGAACACGCTGCACCTCTTTAACTGTCCAGCCAAACTTGCTGACCTAAATTCCGTATCGCCAATCAATACAGGACCCTTTCTATTTGAACTTGGGCCAGATTACAACAACAACAAAATAAACCAAATCTCTCTCTAAACATCACAGACGTTTTCCTTGCTAGATACTAGGCACCGGGCATCTTACACTATGTCCGACATCATCAGGACTCAAAAACTGCAATGTAACCAGAAATCGGATTAGAATTCTTATCGAATGAACAACATCGCATGAAATCGGTCCCCTGCCGATACCAAAATGGTGTAAACAGTTGATAATAGACGCCCCATACCTATCCTGCACTAAGATTTGAAAATTCAAGAGATAAAATCAGTACCCTTCATAACACCTGGCAAAAAATCGGCCGTTTTCCATCAACATTTTTCTGACAAAATCTCCATTTCGACTTTCGTCTCTTCCTCGTTCTATGGCTAAACTGCACCACCTTTCGGCAATTTCTTACCCACTACTCCCCAAACTTTCTAATATTTTACTATAAAAGCTCCCACTTTGTGGACCACTGATACCCAAGATAAATAGTTTTCTCCCCCAGCTGGGCATATTTCATCCAAATCGTTATCAAAAATCAAATTCAAATTCGTTTCCCTATTCAAATTACTTTCACAAAACCATCCAAGAATCATTTCAAATCATAACAATAAACACAACAACAACATTTTAAACGAATTACCGGGGGACCATAGGGAAAAAAAAAACTTATTAACTCCTTTCTACAAATCGTGGTTATGGCTGATTTGTCGCCTGGCCAATGAATGCAACAATACCTGACAATATTCCAGTTATTGTGGCTGCCGCCGACCAAATAGACACATTTATTGTTGGCTGTTGTTGTTGTTGATTTTTTGGTTGTTGAAAGAGGGGGGGCAGAGGTAAGGCAGATTTTTATTTCATTTGGTTTATTAATCGATTAATTTATATGCAAGACCATAATGGTCAACAATTCACAAATATCTGGTAGCAGCCGTGGCAGCAGTCGGGTGGGTGAGTCGTCAAGTCGTGTGATTGTGGACATGGTCGTCGTCATCGTCATGATGATGGTGCTGGTGATATTGATGCCTGGAAGCAGCACATTATGGGCTTGTAGCAAGCAAGCGCACATTTTGTGTGTGCGTGCATACTTGCAGTGAAAAGATATTCAATTCGATTCCGTGTGCTTCTGCTGATGATTGTCAATAATGGAAATCATTTGTATGACCATAAAGAAAAAGGAGCGACGACAACAGCAACAATGAAACACTACATTCATGTGACAAACTATGGGATCTTACAGACCAACAGCGCACTACCTCTAACTGTTGAGATTTCTACAAGTAAAGATAGATGGGAAGAAAGAGATGGAACCCCCTCCTTACAGTTCTACGGTGTGGTTCCACAAAACAGTCTTTCTTTCACAATAACAAAGCCCGGGAAAAAGGGAAAGGAAATGAAATTAAATAAAAGCAAAGCAAAGAAAAGCGAACGAAAGAAAGAAAAGTTTCTTTCTTTTTCCATTCCGCATGAAATTGTAGGTATACATTGTTGAAAATAATTTCCCTTTTAGTGGCTCTGCAGTTTCGCTTGACTCTGTGTTTGGTTTTGGCTCTGCTCTCCATTCTGTAGCATTTAAATTTCTTTCCTTCGTCTTGTATTCACTTTCAATATATATAGTATATTTAATGGCTGCATAGGCACGATCTTCATTAGGATTCTTGAATGGCTGGCTATACACAGTTCATTACACTTATTTTTCTTTTGCTGTTGCTCCACAATCCACAATCATCAGCCGCTTTTCCAAATGTAAGCAAGCAAACCAGCACTCATCACACAGCCGCCAAGGAATGGCATCATCCAACATTAACCAAACAAATAAAATGTAAAGTGGCGAACTGAACTGCATGCCTGCTACTTGCCGCAGAGGGCACCAGAGAAGAAAAAAAACGAAGACGACATCATTTTATAAACAAAACAGAATTCCAGTGCCGTTGACGTTGGTGCAAACAATTCAAAAATGTGTGTTACACTTAAAATAGGAACACATGTCTGTTTTTGTTGTTATATCAAATAACCGAGCAAACGAACGAATCGAGATGGGTGTACTTTACAAACAACATGTACCGTACAACCATGCCAAGCAAGATGTAAGGCGGATATTTTACAATTGGAAAATTTTTGTGAAAAGGGGGCACAAATGGATCCTGTGTTTGAAATTACACAGTAAAACGATGTATACCACAACATTTCGCCTTCTTTGAGGGTATATCAAAAACAGGCTAATGGATAACCTTTCACTGGAGGACCTGTTGTAGAAGGTTGACTATCTATCCAAGATTAAAAAGTTACTATCTACTTCCCTTAAGGACGACTTTTGGGATGCCTAAAGATTGCCTGTAAAGGTATAACATTGAAATCCTTTGGAAATTCTCTCTACAGTTCATGCCTTCCCTTTGGGATCTTTCAATGGGATACTTTGAACTGTCTCCGAAATGTTTTTTTTTTTACTTTATTCATGTCGTATACCTTGAAGTCCTATATAAATTTCCTATCTATGCAAGATGTTTAAGGAAGCTGCAATAAAGAGGTGTGATCGGAGTCAGATCGACATATTTCATAGTTCTTGCCTTTAGGGTTTATCAATGGGGGAAATTTATGTAAACCATCTCTCATATACATTTCGCTGAGATTTCATAGAGACGACCTATGGGTCATCTATGTCTGGAAGTCATGTGAACAGTTTTATGTAAAAAATTTACTCTCTCTGCAAGACCTTTAGATGACCTTCTTCATAAAGACCAGTTATTAAGGCTCTATAAAGAGAAGACTTATTGGTATCATGGCTATGGAAGTATTGAATTTTTTTTCTATCTACCTATGATATTTAGATGATCTCCTATAAAGAGATGTCATAGAAACCACATGGATTACCCTTAAATTTCACATCTATATCCTTCCCTCTAGGGTCTATCAATGGAAAACTTTTGGGCGTTCTTCTTCCGGAAAGCCTTTCCTTATGGATCTGTAAAGGGAAGACAATTTGCTAACCAATCTCCGCAAGTCATGTAATGTTTTCCTGTATAAGGCTCTCTATCTATCCATGGCCTACAAAGGATCTTCTATGAATGTTTTCTTATATAGAATAGCCTGATTTTGTTTGGGTGACATATTAAAGGGGCTTCTACAGAAGCTCTTCTGTATACAGAATATATCTTATGCGTAGAAATCTATCCGAGGTATTATTTCATTTCCCTTAATAGTTTATGTGGGATTGAAAAGCTGATTGGTGCTGATTTTTGGGTAGAAGACCTTTCACTAATCTTAGAAGGCCTTGAGTTCTTTTATAGCTGGAGGTTCTTACACCGACATCCTCTAAGCATTCCTTAAAACTTCTATGCTGAGGTTTTCCGTATAGCCATTGAATACCTTTTGAAAGTCTCTGCGAATGGATTTTCTTCCAAAAAGCACCATCGGCATATCTCTTTTCCAAAGAATACCTTGAGAATTATGCCACCCAAAGATTTTTTGTAAGATCTTCCATGGATTTTTTCTCCAAATGTGAACACTTTCTTTTCTTATGTTAGGAAATATCATCTGAACATACGATATTCTATCCATACATATACATTGTTGAGGGCCTTCAAACCATGGGAGACCTTTTGTAAAACCTTCTACGGATACATTTTCAAGAGATCCTCCACTGATACACCAGCATAGGATATTTTCCGTAGGACTCCCTGATTTGAATTAAAAATCAGCTATCTATGAAACTCGTATGATAATAGAAGCTCAGTAGCATATCTTTTATCTCTGGAAGACCCATAGTAGGTCATCCACTAAAACGCAACGACATTTATTTGTCCGAATTATAATCCAGGATTTCCCTTTGGCTCGGACATTCATTACTGACTGCCTTCATTTTCGAACACTTATGGTAAACTATTCTAATGATGATGGAATGCTTATAGACAAATTTATGTCAATACTCATACCTAAATAAAATATATAATTAATTTTCAAATTTTTATATACTCTAATCCCCAATAACACTTACCTTCATCTAATAAACGTTCCACATGATTGAAGACATTGGGAAATGCTGCCAACTGTTTGCGATCCTTAAGTAATTGAGCCAAATAATCAGCAATACTTTGTGTCGTCTGTTGCTGTTGTTGCGGTGTTTGTTGTGTCACCTGCTGTTGTTGCTGCTGCTGTTGTTGTTGCTGCTGCACCACAACTGGTTGATGCTGCAGCGTTTGTTGTTGCAGCTGTTGCTGAACCGCATTGTTATTTTCACAGACACTCATGATGTAAAAAATGTTGAGTTTGTTCAAAACAAAATAAAACTTATTTCAAAAGATTCTTTATTGCTGGCTTCACTAGCTGAGATGATGATAACACTGATGCTGATCGTTAGACGATAGATAATATCCTTTTGAGGATAATATTTATTTTGATTATGAAAGGAGTTTCCAATAGGGGTGTTTAGGAAATAGCTAAAACTTGTTTTATTTTGTTTGTTGGAAAACAAATTATTGCACAAAATTTACTGCTGGTTGTTTTTATTGTTTGTTTCACTCTAGTTTTCTTTTTTTCGGATGGAAATTTAATTGTTATGATCTAAAAGAAGAAAATGAATTATTTTAGTATTTATTTCAATTAAAATCCAAGTATTTTTTATAAACTTTTAAACGAACAATCAGTCTTTGACTTGTCACAACCGACCGAACACGATAAAACTTTGTATTAAATTTGTTATTTTTATGCTCTGGCTGCTGGGGAGGGAGTATTCTCCATCTGCGAGAGAGAAAGAGCAACGAAAAAAGGAGGAAAAAAGCAAACGAACAAAAACAATACTACCACCACATGACACACCACCGTAAAATAAAAACAACACCAACAACAATACCCCAAAAGAAATGAGAATTCTTCATGCATGATGCATACACAAACACACGCACACACATGCTCACAGCATTCCCACCTACAGAGTGTTGACGACGACGGCCACACTACTCTCATTATTATCAATGTTGTTTTTGAGATGCTGATGATGATGCTTCCTCTTCTTCTTTGTGCCATCATTACTATTAACAAACAGAGACGGCCGTTGTCGTTTACTCTGCCACGAGAGAAATTAAAAAAGGGAAAATTCAATTAAAAGAAATTTCTTCTAAAAACCTACAGAGAAAGAGAGGAAGAGTCGTTGGGGAATTAGAAAGATTCTAAAAATATAAATTGATTTAATATCGTGAAAGGCAACAACGGAAAAAATAGTCGAAAATGATTAATCCAATTTTATAAAAATACCTACTTAAAGAAGTAAACGCGTCAGCCGATATATAATTGCATGCGTTCTTCTTTATTTATTTCTAAGAAGAGGCTAGAGAACTAAGTTAATGAGAGTGTGGCCAACTAGTGGGGAGGTAGAAAATCGTTGTATTGTAATAAATCGAGCTATTCTATGCAAACATATTATTTTCTACATGTGTGACGGATTCATTTTTAATTTTTTTATAGCAATTTCCGACCTTATTCTACCTTTTATATCCTTTTGTGTGAATTACAGAAAAAAAATTATTTTTAATTTAGAGTTCTTAATAATCAAGCAAAAATATTTTATGCAGTTCCAATTTTGATGTAGAACCAATATAACAGTACATCCAGATTTTCGTTTTTTTTTTTTTTTGGAGGTTATGCCTCGATTTTCAACTAAATTAACTGGAATTTGGTATTTCGGATTCATTATGGCAGTTCAACTATTTGCAAAAAAACTGACAATAGTTCATTTATCCTATATTTATGTTTCAGAAAAAGGAAAGAAATCTTCTCCTGCTATATCTTTTCCCCTAAAAAAAATCTGATATATGAAATGTAAACATATGTTTGTGTGGTTCGAAAAATATTAGAGGCAATAAAATGGCCACAATAATAAGCATTGAGAAGAATTTAAACGTATCTATAAAAGAAAACAATATTGTTATATATATTTTTGTATCCTTCTTAAATATTACGAGGAACATTTGGGTAAAATGGGTAATTCATTTTACTTTTTTACCCTTAAAAGTTATGCTAGAATGTTGTTAAAGAACGATATATAAATGGAAAAATGGTGAAAATGTCGAATTATAAAAATAAAACGTATCATTGAACTTCTCAAAGAGGAACACCATTTTCAAGACAATATTTCTTAATTAATTCCCAATCAGGAAAATAAAAAATGTTGTAAAATAAAAAAATGTCCATCGTCACAGGAACAAAATGTCCACATAACGTGTTCAATAGAACAGAACTAAACCAATTTTTTTCTCACTTCCTTCTTAATAGGTAAAATAAATATATAGAAATAAGAAAAGTTATCAAAAATAGCAATTTGCTGACACCGTCACAATATCAACAAAGTAACAGGAAATCGCTAAATTGACATTACCGTTTGTAATCCTCTCATAAAAATATGAGTTGAATAACAAAACCAACGGAGAGAGGGGTGTAAATACAAAACAAATATTACACTGGGATAAAACTGAAGGAGAGTGCATTTTTCAAAGCAAACCGGCTTTAGTAAACATAGGACCTTCCTTCCACCAAAAGGAGGATAGAAAAATGTTCATTTTACACAGGACAATGATCTCACAGTTACTATGCCTCACAATTACAAGCTCTCTTTCTGTTCTCATAGAAAGGTTTGTTGTTGCTCTTTTGATTTGTGACCCTCTTTCGTTTTGTTGTTTTTTTTTTATTTCTACGGTGTTTTTAATATTCAAATGACGTTTACTACGAGAAAACCCATCAGCCAACCAACCAGTCGACCAAATGGGCAAAAGAACAACAAGACCAAGAATAATAACAATAAAAAAAATTGTCATAAATTTCTCCTTCAAGTTATTTTGGAATGCATGAGATCAACAATGGCTGGCTGGCTGGATGGATGGATGAGTCGCGTCGTTGTAGGCAACAGCAGCAACGGATAGATGGATGGATGTTTATTTTTAGACAAACAAAATAAATTCACTTTTTAAACACAATTCCTACTTTTAAGTGCCTTTTTTGCTTTAGAAAATAGAATCTTTGTTGCTTTTACTCTACTCTTTGTGCGTGCGTGTGGTGGCGGCGGTGGGTGTGTGGAAAATTCTTTGGTAGGGTTTTCTTGTTGCTTTCTTTCTCCTTTTTCCACAAATTTAATACAAGTTTTTTAGACGTCTTCTTGGTTTGCTTTTCTGGGTTCTTTTTCATGTGTTTTTCTTGATTTTTCTCTTGTTTTTTGTGTGTTTGCACTAAACATACTTGTTTCTTTGCAAGAGATTTGTTGTTGTTGCTCTTCTGGTTTCTATTTCACTTTTTTGCTTTGATTCAACTTGTTTTTGTTATTTTTTCTTTGCTATTTTTCTTCTTTTTTTTTTTGTTAACTCACACAAAAAAATCGATCGTGATTTGAGATTCAATTATTGACTGGGGGTTATAGAAAGAATGTTGCTCTTTTTTACTTTATTTCATAAATTTACTTTTACTCTTTATTTTACTTTTTATATTTCTTATGTTAATTCCTTTGTTTTTGTTGTTGCTTTTAATCTCAATTCATCCCTTTGCGCGATGATGATGATTTTATGTTAAACGAAATATTTTTGATTTTCTTTACGATCTTTTTATTTCAGACGAGAGATGATGTTTGTTGTGTATTTTATTATTGCTTCTTCTTTGATTTGATTCTTTGTTGTTCAATACTTTATTTCTTTTCAATTCACGGAAAAAGCGCTGTTCACCGACCGAGATACAAAAAAATAATACCCACCAAAAGTCAAAGTTGCCGAACTACACCTCAAAAAATCTAAAATCGATATCGATTGTGGTCTACCAAAAAATCGAAAATCGATTTTAAACTCATTTCACAATATCGGTAGATCGATTGTTGTGTGGTGTTTTCTTGCTCTATCCACGGAGATTTGTGGGGTACTTTTATTTCGTAAATTATTATTAATTTCGTTATGAAATTAGGTAAATGTGTTTAAGAAAATACTTGTTTGAACTCGTGTTAATTATTTTATATAGCAACCAATAAAATTTATGCATTACTGAGGATGAAAATGAGTGGAGAAATCGTCCGTACCTGCGAGAACATTTTGCCTAAGAATACATTGAGTATGTGAGAGGGAGAAAATATGTTATTTGTTGTTGCGATTGGTGGGAGAACATGTTATTTTTTGCTACAAAGAACAAAATAAACGTTTGAACATCGAAAAGAAAGGCAAAAACAATATGTGATCATCGTTGACAATGCATCACAGGCCAGAGTTGTGTGGAAAGAGTAGTAAATGACGACAGTGTTCTTGGTTGGCAGTTAGTGGTGTACGTACCGTGAGGGTGAAGCAAGACGACGTATTTCTCTTGCAATTATTTAAATTTTTCGTTTTGTATTGGAAAAAAGAAAGCAATATGTCACGTTTTAATTAAAATGGTTAATATTCAATGTCAAAAGATTAGTTGAAGCGCCTATTATCGTCTAATTTTCAAATGCGACATGATCTGTTTATTATATTTATAGCCGAAATTTGAGTTCCAGCAAAAAAGTTATTCAATAGCGAATAGCGATGAATCTGCCCAGTAAGCATAACAACCAGTAATATTAAAAGAGGCATACATAGTCTTGGAAACTCCAATACAAAACCATTTTGGCTGGAAAAGGTTGTTTTTATCATCAAAATTCCAAAAATCGTTTGAAACATTTGTACTAACTACTCTCTCCCATTACAGCAAGAGGTTCTATATTTTTGTGGGATGTCTTCAATATTTCCTTTGCTTCTAAAAGAAGGAACTGGACCAGAATTTTGTTTGGACAATTCAATTAGTTGTAACTTTCCGGGAGAAGCATTGTAACTGGGAAATGTAAGTGCTTCGATCTCTAAACGGATCTCTAAACGGATTTAGAAGTTCAGTCGATAGACATCTTTCCCTGTGGATAATTTAAGCCACACCAAAAAAATACAAAATTCTCATTCTCCCTTATCCACAGGTGTAGGACTTGAAACAACAACACATTTCCATATTTGCAATAACATCCAAACTTTTATCTTTAAATTACCTCTCGTTATCACTTCTCTTAATTCATTCATAACCCACTGATGTAAAATTAAAACAACTAAAACGGAAATTGTATTCTTACCATAAACAGCCACTGGAATACTTATCAAATTGCTTACCTTTGAGACACTCTCCCCGCCCTTGTGGCCCGTAACACAACAAAATTCCATCACCAGAATTTTCCCCTCAACCACTTGACAGGCTGAAGGATAATTTGCATAAGATTTTGGTGAAAAATGTCAATACCAGTCCACACACACACTCACCGACAGCATTCAATGGTAATTTGCATGATTTTGGGTTTGGAACAATCATCAAACTGTGAGTGTCAGCAAGCCAACCCGCCAACCAAAGCAACCAGTCAGCAAGCCATGTGCCATGTTAGCTGGGTCCCATATTTGTATTTGATTTAATAAATTTTAATGCATTTGTTTTTTGAGGGGAGTTGACAAAACACAGCCTACACAGGCATTTTAAAAAATGGAAAATAAAAATATTCGAATTTGATATATGTTCTAAAGGTACTATGTATGGAGATATGCAATAAATTAAAAAATATATGTATATATTTTTTTTGAATGAAGAGAAAGTATAAAAGTTTTTTAAAAATATAAGAGTAAAAAGAAATTAAAAGGTATCACTCGGTTTTGGCGGACAGTTGTATACCCTTAGCCAATTTCCATTTATTTAAATATATTTTGACTTAGGTTATGATAACTCAAATTGTTAACCCTTTATGGGGGTGGTTTGGAAGGAGTGAAACAGTATTGGCCATTTCGTTTCTGAGCCAAGTCTGCTATAAATATTTCAACGTGCTGGACTATATCGACAACTCAATTTCTCTTTAACTGGATTTTAGGAAAATGTTAGCGTTAGGTACGAGATATAGTGAACCGAAGCATTGGGATATGCAAAATTTAAAGAAAATTGAACATTAATTTTCCATTTTATGCAAATAATTTTCAGTATTTTAACCTTTTGTGGAGGAGGTGGCAGAAGTAGTTGGCCGACAGAACTTTATATTTTTTCAACCAGAAATCTTGTGTAGGTATAAATATTGGAGTGTATGAAATTTGAGGAGAATCGAAGGCTTATTTCGCATAGTATGAGAGCTATAATTAATGAAAAATTTGGAACCGTTGTGGGGAATGAACCTCAAGGAGTGAACCGATATGTTCCATCTTCACATCAGTTCTATTGTAAATGAAAATATTGAAATGCATGAAATTTGAAGTGAATTGGATGCTTATTTTGTATTTTATGAGAGTTATAATTATTCAAAATTTTTTACTCGTTATGAGGGAGGTACTGGAAGGAGTGGACCGATATATTCCAACTTCAAATCATATTTTGTGTTGGTAAAAATATTGGAATGTGTGAAATTTTAATATAATCGGATGCCTATTTCGTATTTTGTGGAAGTCATTGTTTTTTTTTAAAAAGTTGAGCCGTCGTGGGACAGGTACCAGAAAATGTTGACCGATATCTACCAATTTTACACCATATCTTGTGTTAGTGGAAATATTGGAATATGTGAAATTTGAATGGAATCGGATGCTTATTTCGCTTCTTATTAGAGATATAATTAATCAAAAAGTTTGAACCCATTGTGGGGGAGGTACCAGAAGGAGTGAGCCTATATGTTCCATCTTGACACTGGATCTTGTAATAATAAAAATATTCGGATGTGTCGAGTTCGAAAGTAATCGGATGATCATTTCGCTCATTTATGAGCTTCGTGGTTATTCAAAACTATTATTCAAAGGAATGGACCGATATCTACCATCTTTACACCAGATATATTGTTTGTGAAAATATTGATATGTGTGAAATTTGAAGTAAATTGGAGGCTTATTTCGTATTTTACGAGGGTTATAAATATTCACAAAATTTTGACCCGTTGTGGAAGAGGTACTAGAAGGAGTGGACCTATATAATCCATATTCACAATATATGTTTGGTTGAGAGAAATATTGAGATGTGCCGAGTTTGAAAGTAATCGAATGCTTATTTCGCATTTTATGAGGTTTATAAATATTCAAAATTTTGACCCGTCGTGAGGGAGGTACTAGAAGGAATGGACCGATATAATCCATATTCACAATAAATGTTTGGTGGATAGAAATATTGAGACGTGCCGAGTTTAAAAGTAATCGAATGCTTATTTCGCTTTATATGAGGGTTATAAATATTCAAAAATATTGACCATTTAGAGGGGAGGTACCACAAGGAATGGACCGATATAATCCATCTTCACAACATATCTTTGGTTGATAGAAATATTGAGATATGCCGAGTTTGAAAGTAATCGAATGCTTATTTCTCATTTTATGAGTGTTATAAATATTTACAAAATTTTGATCCGCTGTGGGGAAGGTACCACAATGAGTGGACCGATATAATCCATGTTCGCAACAGATCTTTGGTTGATAGAAATATTGAGACGTGCCGAGTTTGAAAGTAATCGCATGCTTATTTTGCATTTTATGAGAGTTATAACTATTCAAAATTGTGACCCATTATGGGGGAGGTACTAGATGGAGAGGGCCGATATAATCCATATTCACAATATATGTTTGGTTGATAGAAATATTGAGACGTGCCGAGTTTGAAAGTAATCGCATGCTTATTTCGCATTTTATGAGGGTTATAAATATTCACAAAATTTTGACCCGCTGTGGGGAAGGTACTAGAAGGAGTGGACCGATATAATCCATCTTCACATCTGATCTTTGGTTGATGTAAATATTGAGATGTGCCGAGTTTGAAAGCAATCGAATGCTTATTTCGCATTTTACGAGGGTTATAAATATTCAAAATTTTTGACTTGTTGTGGAGGTGTTGACCAATATAATACATCTTCACAACAGATCTTTGGTTGATGGAAATATTCAGACGTGCCGTGTTTGAAAGTAATCGCATGCTTATTTCGCATTTTATGAGGGTTGAGGTACCGTTGTGGAGGAGGTACCAGAAGGAATGGACAGATATCTACCATCTTCACACCAGATATATTGTTAATAAAAATATTGAAATGCGTGAAATTTGAAGTGAATTGGAGGCTTATTTCGCATTTTATGACGGTTATAAATATTCAAAAATTTTGACCCGCTGTGGGGGAGCTGGAAATATTGAGACGTGCCGAGTTTGAAAGTAATCGAATGCTTATTTCGCATTTTATGAGGGTTATAAATATTCAAAAATTTAGACCCGCTGTGGGGAGCTACTAGAAGGAGTTGACCGATATAATCCATCTTCACAACAGATCTTTGGTTGATAGAAATATTGAGATATGCCGAGTTTGAAAGTAATCGAATGCTTATTTCGAATTTTGTGAGGGTTATAAATATTTACAAAATTTTGACCCGCTGTGGGGAAGGTACCACAAGGAGTGGACCGATATAACCCATGTTTACATCAGACCTTTGGTTGATGAAAATATTGACACGTGCCGAGTTTGAAAGTAATCGAATGCTTATTTCGCATTTTATGAGGGTTATAAATATTCACAAAATTTTGACCCGCTGTGGGGAAGTTACCACAAGGAGTGGACCGATATAACCCATATTCACAACAGATCTTTGGTAGATAGAAATGTTGAGATGTGCCGAGTTTGAAAGTAATCGAATGCTTATTTCGTATTTTATGAGGGTTATAAATATTCAAAATTTTTGACCCGCTGTGTGGGAGCTACTAGAAGGAGTTGACCGATATAATCCATATTCACAATATATGTTTGGTTGATGGAAATATTGAGATGTGCCGAGTTTGAAAGTAATCGAATGCTTATTTCGCATTTTATGAGGGTTATAAATATTCACAAAATTTTGACCCGTTGTGGGGGAGGTACCACAAGGAGTGGACCGATATATTCCCACTTTACACCATATTTTGTGTTAGTATAAATATTGAGATGTGTGAAATTGGAAGAGAATCCGATACTTAGATTGCGTTTTATGAGCATTTTTGTTATTTAAATTTTTGTGCCCTGTGTGGGGTAGGTACGAGAAGGAGTGGTCAGATATCTACCATTTTAACACCAGATCTTGTGTTGGAAGAAGTATTGAGATGAGTGGAATTTTAAGAGGATCGTATGCTTATTTCGCATTTTATGTGAGTTATAGTTATTCAAAAATGTTGACCATTTAGGGGGGAGATACCAGAAGGAGTGGTCCGTTCTACCCGACCTTCATATTAGTTATTGTGCTGATAAAAATATTGAGATGTGTGAAATTTTGAGACAATCGGAATCTTATTTCACATTTTATAAGTTTTACAATTATTCAAAATTTTGACCCATTGAGGGGTATGTACCAATGGGATTGGTCTGTTGTTCATACCAGATCTTGTGTTGTTAGAAAAAATTGAGAATTTTTTTTTACAATTTTTAATTTTCTTTTAATTATTCTTTTTTTTATATTTTGAACCTTTGTCTGGAAGGTAATTGATGTAGTGGGTCGATATTTTCCATTTTGGCACATGACCTAGCAGTTATAAAAATATTAGGATTTTGAACACAAATGCATGATCTTGTCTTGTCTTTAAGGTAAATAATTTTCTTTGAAAATTTGACCTTTCGTGGTAAGGTACCAGAAGGAGTGGACCGAGATTATGCGTCTCTGAACTCGATTTTACTTTTAATAATTTTACTCTCTTCGAGTGTTATCGTTCATACCAGCTAGTCTGACAGACGGACGGACGGACATCCTTAGATCGACTCCAAATATCCTGAAACGGATATGGTCCATTTGGACCTAGGGTTATAAATATTCACAAAATTTTGACCCGTTGTGGAAGAGGTACTAGAAGGAGTGGACCTATATAATCCATATTCACAATATATGTTTGGTTGAGAGAAATATTGAGATGTGCCGAGTTTGAAAGTAATCGAATGCTTATTTCGCATTTTATGAGGTTTATAAATATTCAAAATTTTGACCCGTCGTGAGGGAGGTACTAGAAGGAATGGACCGATATAATCCATATTCACAATAAATGTTTGGTGGATAGAAATATTGAGACGTGCCGAGTTTAAAAGTAATCGAATGCTTATTTCGCTTTATATGAGGGTTATAAATATTCAAAAATATTGACCATTTAGAGGGGAGGTACCACAAGGAATGGACCGATATAATCCATCTTCACAACATATCTTTGGTTGATAGAAATATTGAGATATGCCGAGTTTGAAAGTAATCGAATGCTTATTTCTCATTTTATGAGTGTTATAAATATTTACAAAATTTTGATCCGCTGTGGGGAAGGTACCACAATGAGTGGACCGATATAATCCATGTTCGCAACAGATCTTTGGTTGATAGAAATATTGAGACGTGCCGAGTTTGAAAGTAATCGCATGCTTATTTTGCATTTTATGAGAGTTATAACTATTCAAAATTGTGACCCATTATGGGGGAGGTACTAGATGGAGAGGGCCGATATAATCCATATTCACAATATATGTTTGGTTGATAGAAATATTGAGACGTGCCGAGTTTGAAAGTAATCGCATGCTTATTTCGCATTTTATGAGGGTTATAAATATTCACAAAATTTTGACCCGCTGT